TGGGTAGGTGTTTGACTCAAGAACAAATTTGCTTTAGAAAGATAAGTCTGAGAAAATGGCTTGAGGCAGGACGAGTCTGGAAGTGGGATGATCAGCTGGGCTTTCAGTCAGTCATTCAGGCATGAGACAATGGGACTATGCATTAACTATGAGAATGGAGAAGAGAAACCATGCATGAACCATATATATATAATTTTTATATAGTTTACATTCAATATTATTTTATAGTAGTTTCAGGTATTCAGCATAGTGGTTAAATAATCATATTCTTTGCAATGTGGTCCCCTCAATATTTCAAGTACCCACCTGTCACCATGCATAGTTATTACCATATTATTGACATCACCATGACTGTTTTGTAACTACCAATTTGAACTCCTTAATCCCTTCACCTTTTTCATCCAGTCTCCCAAACCCATCCCCTGTGACTACCATCAGTCTGGTCTCTGTATCTATGAGTTCATTTCTATTTTGTTTGTTCATTTATTTTGCCCTTTAGATTATACATATAAGTGATTTTTTTTTATTGATTTCAGAGAGGAAGGGAGATGGAGGGAGAGATAGAACATCATTGATGAGAGAGAATCATTGATCAACTGCCTTCTGCATGCCCCACACTGGAGATCAAGCACACAACCCGGGCATGTGCCCTGACTGGGAATCAAACCATGACCTCCTGGTTCACAGGTCGATGCTCAACCACTAAGCAGCACCAGCCCAGCTGTAAGTGAAATCTTATTGTATTTTTCTTTCTCTGACTTATTTCACTTAGCATAATAACCTCTAGGTCCATCTATGCTGTTGCAAATGGTAAGATTTCATTATTTTTTATGCCCAAATATGATTCTATTGTATATACTTACTCTGAACTTTGTTTGTTGTTCTACTTACTCTGTGCTTTGTTTGTTGCTCTTTTCATAGTTATTTTAAGTGTAAATTAGATTCTTAGACATTTTTCTTGTTTCTTGTTGTAGACTATGAATTTCCCTCTTAGAACTGCTTTTGCTGTGTCCCATAGATTTTGTGTTGCTGTGTTTTTATTCTCTTTTGTATCAAGGTATCTTTAAGTTTTTTCCTTGCTCTCATTGTTAACCCATGTATTATTTTGTTACATCTTACTTAGCCTCCATGTGTTTGTGCATTTTTTAGTTTTTTTTCTTGTAATTGATTTTCAGTTTTATACCATTGTGGTCTGAGAAGATACTTGATATGATTCATTAAGTATATTTTGCATGAAAAAAAGGCCAGTGTATGGTGATTTATTAGATTAGGAAAGTAGGACAGAGCTAAGTCAAAGATGAAGTTTCATATTTGAGTGACAGAAGAAGAATCATGGAGGGGCTAACATATGAAACTGGGAGGGATAATTCATGAGGAATGTCAGATGAGAAGTTCAGAGCTTGAAGAAATCAGATTTCTACTATAGTTGTCTGTAAACTGGAAGAGCTACAGGCCTAGAACTCAAAGGAGAAGCTAGGCCTAGTAGTAGTTCTGCTTTTTTTTTTAGAGGCTTTGGCAAAAAAAAAAAAAAAAAGTGTTTATGGAAATTGTGAGAAAGTTTCCAGAATTCATTAAGGCTAGTCACATTTAGAGATAAAAGTTCAAGCCAACAATAGTACCAACAGGAATAGCCACAGTTGGGGACTTTTAAAAGGAAGGAGAAGAAGAACAAAGTTGGAAGCTAACTATACCTGATTTCCAGATTTATTATAAAGCTACATTAGTGAAGATGGTGTGATATTGCTGTAAGAATAGACAAATAAGGCAATGCAATTAAATAGAAAGAAAGCCAAATGCAATTAAATAGAAAGAAATCCATACACATACAGGCAACTGATTTTTACTTAATTACTAGGGCATCATTTGACAAATGATGCTGGAACAGTTGAAATTCCCATACAGGCAACTGATTTTTACTTAATTACTAGGGCATTTCAATGACAAAAGGATAGTCTTTTTGACAAATGATGCTGGAACAGTTGAAATTCTATATGCCACAAAATGACCATTGACTCATACCTCACATATTAAATAAAAATTTTAACTAAAAATTGGACCACAGACCTAAGTGTAACATTTAAAATTAAAATTTCCAAAGAGAAACAAAATATTTTTATTTTGGGTTAGGCAAAGATTTCTTAGATACAACACCAAAGCATGACCCAGCAGAGAAAAAACATTGATAAATTGGAGTTCATCAAAATTAAAAACTTTTTGAAAGAAGTTCTTAAGAAGAAAGTCACAAACTGGAAGAATAGTATTTGAAAATCATATATCTGATAAAGGACGTTTATCCAGAATAAATAAAGGATTCTCAAACTCAACATAAGAAAACAAAAACAATTTAAAAAATCTGGTAAAGGTAAAAAAGACACATCACCAAAGAAGATATACAGATAGCAAAAGCATGAAAAGATGTTCAACATCATTATTCATTAGAAAGATGCAAATTAAAACTACAATGAGATACTAATTCACATACATTAGAATAGTTACAATTAAAATGCTGACCACAGCAAGTGTTAGGAAGGGTGTGGAGGAGCTGAAACTCATGCACTGCTGGTGGGAATGTAAAATGTACTGCACTTTGGAGGACAGTTTACCAGTTTTCTAAAAGGTAAATATACTACCGTGTGATGTATTCACTTCACTCTTAATTATTGCTTAGGGATGAAGTGGGTGGCAGTTAGAGGAGAGAGAGAAGAGAGTGATCACAAGGGTCATGAGAGGTCTTTTGGGGATGATGAAAATGTTCACTCTGTTGTGATGATATAATAATAAAAGTGTAATATGCTTATTAGACCAGACATCCTTCCAGACGACCTTCCGGGTGAAGCTGGGGATGCGAGGGAAGCCTGGGTCCTGGGTGCTGGAGGGAAGCCGGTGCCGGCAGCCGGGGGAAGGAAGGCCTACTCTTGCACAAATTTCGTGCATTGGGCCTCTAGTATACATATATCAAACATCAAGTTGAACACTTTAAATGTGTTCCATTTATTGCACATCAATTATATCTTAATAAAGCTGCCAAAAAGATTAATAAACTCATTAAGTCACCACTATACAGAAGCTCTAAAATAGAAGAAAATAAATGTAAAAACAAAAAACAACACAAGGAAAATAGGACAGATACCTACAGAAAGCTGTAGGAAGAGACAAGAGGAAACCAAGAATAAAGCTGGTGTTTGAAAGAGGAGTGAGCAGTTAGAACAACATGACACAGCTATAGCAGGGATGAAGACTGTCCAATGAACTTGGCAACGAGGACATCACTGAGCCTCACATGGTAGTGGTGTGGGAGCCAGAATGTCAGAGCCCAAAGGGAGGTTGCATGAAGCAAGGAGGACAGTAGCGCATTGAAACTACTTGTTTTAAAAGCCAGCACATGAGAATGAGAGAAACGAGACAGTAGCTAGAAGGGACAGCAGTACAAACTCAGTTTTTTTGGGTGAAGTTTGAAGGCAGAAAAAAAATAAAAGGGGAATGAAGAAGAAAACTGAAGATTCTAGAGATGAAGGTAAAACATGTGGAAACAAGTTCCTAGAGGAATTTGGAAGTGACTGGATCTAAGGCACAGGTGCCAGAGTGAGCCTTGGAAAGAAATCTGTAATTGTTAACTCCTGACAGCCCTCCACAATGAGGGGTTACAGAGCACCTACGTGCATTATTTTAAGCTTGGAGAGAAAAAATATTTTTTTTTGCTGGCAGATTTCTTAGAAAACATGAATGACTGAACCTTCTGACATTTCTTCAAATTGATCTCAATAAAAGAAAACATTATATTAATCATCACCTCTGACCCACCAAAATGTGACCTTTTCAGGCTGTAATCTACTGACCACAGCCCTTAGGTCACTGTCCCATGTGACATCATAGTGCTTCTACTTCATTAACCTCAGTGCCTTGCTACTTCAGGAAGATTACTCTGAGTCAGATGTTTTAGAAGGAACAGAGGGCAGGAAAACAGTCCGGGATAAACTGTGGGCGTATGTGTACAAGGTGATGGGGAAATCTCCATGAAGGAAAAACACAGCCATTACTGGATGTCTGAAAGGCACTGCTGTGGCCTACAGAGAGTGGAAGGGATATGAACTTTAGAACTAGACAGACTTGGTCTCCAATCGGCCTCTTCCTCCTACATATGCTATCACATGGGTACATATTTTTGTTTCCATTCATCTCGTTGCCTCGTCTACATCTACGTAGTGGCTATACTGTTTACCTTACGTGGTTGTTCAAAGAATGAAATAACCAGTTGGATTTAAGTATTCAATAGAAACCAGGCAAGCCATATAGGGTAGTTATATTTCTTATACTATTACATAGTAAGTGTTCTGAACCCATAAAATAATACCTCAAGCTGTCATTTGTCTTCTGTCATTTGTCTTCCATTGAGGATCAATTAATGCCTGTTGACGTTTACGTGATTAGTTTAGCAGGACTCTCCAAACAACAGTGGCAAACTGTCTAAAGGTCAGACAACACATCGGCTCACAAGGATGAAGTGTCAATGCAAACAGTTGGCCTTTCTCCATGTCACCAAGTTGCTTTCTCTCTTGATGCATACGAAGACTTACTACAACCATTCTCCCTTCTTATTACAACTGAAGCCCTGGAGGAGGAGATAGGAACTGTGAGGAGTTCTGTGATCCCAGCAGTTGAATCCCTAAGGAGGAGTGGACTCCTCAAGTTCTTGATATTTTGTGAGGGTCTGAAATATGGCTCATGTCCCAGCATATGCTCACACTTTTAAATGTGTAAGTGTAAGGGCCTGATCCAGAGTGAAGGATCGGAACTCAACTGTTCTCTGGGATCAAAGGGAACCTCTCTTTAAAGTAAATTAATCCTTTAAATGCATACCACATAGTACCTTGAAATACTTTAATTATAGCATTAGGCCCACTGCTGAATTATGGCATTTTGATATAATTGAACTGTGCCTTTTTAGAACAACTTGATGTACATTTCAGGCATTTGCTGCCTGGCAAGTTAAAGGATCTAGAATTTGTGGACTATATCTCTTTGCAATTCATCAAGGTAAAAGAAAAAAATGTGTGATAAATCCTTAGAGTGAGAGCACAGACTCAGTAATAAGGCCTCTGAGTCATTACTGGAAATGCAAATATGCACCGCGAACACATCACGATAACCTTAATCACTGGTGTTTGAGCGTGGATCAGTTTTATGCTATCATCAAGAATTAGTTCCAGTTTGAAGCTACCATCAAGCATTAGTTCAAGTGCGAAAGGGAATGTGGTCTTGGTGATCAGGATACATCTGCTAAAGATAGCACACCCCTTGCCCATCTGATCCTCCTGGTGGCAGTTAGCTGCATACTGAGTCCTATGACTTCAGAGCTATAAAGGGTCTGGCATGAACCTTCCCTTGCGCTCTATCATGGCTAGAATTAGTTGATAACCCAATCCTGGGCTTTGGGTTAGCTCTAGGCACGACTAAATTAAGTCCTATTACTGCTAGAGGATCTGCCACCAAAAATATGTTGTATTCCTTTCCTAGGACTCTGGAGACTATGTGATTGGGCAGAATATCATTGAAGCAAATACTGTCTTTGAGGGAAAAGAGAGGAAAATATCCTACGTAAGTCAAAACCTATAAAAACTGCCCAAACTTGTACTGAGCTAATTGTGTAAAGTGAACATTACAAAGTTGGTATTTAAAGTTAATTTGACACATGTTTTCTTTTTTAAAATCTTTATTGTTGAAAG